GTCAGTGGGCTGTTCATCAACTCTAGGAGCTTGTCTTCTTCTTCCTAGCCCCAAATCACTTGTTATGTCACCATCCCTAACAGCATTTTGACCTACAAGTTGAGCAAGATGTTCAATCTGTTCTTGCAGCCCTTTTATAGCCTCCTGGAAAATCTCTACAGTGACATGTTGTGGTCTTCTACCACCTCTACCACGTCCACCCCTTACAACCATGATAATATAGCAACAAGGAGATGAATTTTGAAGCAAACCCAAGGAAAGAACTTGCTTTGATACCACTTGATGTGGATAGAAAAACAAATTACATGCAACACTTAAAGTATACAGCAATAAGCACAAGAAATACCAAGCTGAAAACACAAAACGAGTTGGATTTTTAGGGATTTCAGACCTGAACCTGAAGTAAAACTCCTCTTGGAACAGTTCCGCTACAGTAACAATGGCAGCAAGCTGGCCTCCCGTGCGGACGTGCAACGTTAGAGGGATTGGAAGGTGCCAAAATGGGTTGACTCCTCAAAACCCAAGCTCCCAATACTTGAAAACCCTAGTTGGGGCTGAGCTACAACTCAAACAAGAGAGAAAGAACAAAACAAAGCCCTTATAGAAACAACCCCCTTCTCTTTTAAAATATTTAGACATAAGCCCCTACAATGTTTCCCTCTCACAAGCAACTCCTTAAGAACAAAACTAACATCAAATGAACCCCAAAAGATAACTTTTGTTACAGAAAGACCCAAGAGACCAAAACCCAACAGATAAGCACTCAAAAACAACGATTTGGAATCCTACTACAAAAAACATGCAAAACAGAATACATTCATATTTTTTTCCATTTTTTTCTTCTTTTATTTTTTGCCTCATCAAGAGTTCAGGTTCTTGAAGAATGACTTTACTGAAAATTTCTGCAAGCTTTCCCATTTCTATATCCTTTCATCTTCCTGCTCTAACTGAGGGAGTGAGGTTTTAAGCAAGCTGATCAAGGAAACTGGGTCCTGAATTTCCCAGTCGTTTAAGTTCCTTCTAAATGTTGGACACCATGTAATGAAACATAGCATTAGTTGGTTTGATTGAGGTAGAGAAAAAAAAGGGAAGATGGGTTTGGATTTAGGAAGTAATTAAGAAGCTGGATATAGTTATATCATAACTGGTGACATGGATATAAAATTAAATATGTATGTTATGTACAAGCATACATGTATGCCAGTGTATGGGGTTTTGTCCACTCTAGAAAATGCTAAGTTCAGTTTCTATTCTTTTTATTGCTAGGTATGCACTAAAATATTTCCTATACGTCCTAATAATATTGAGACACAAAAAAATTAAACCTTTTTATGCATCAATAAAAAAGGAGACAAGAAGAGAAATCAGTAATCTGGTTTTGCTTTGAGTGCAATGATGGGGATTTAGCTACAGTTATATTGCATTTTATATGCTATTTGAAATAATGTAGAGTTACGAATACATTTGGTGTAATTCTATAATTTGGCATTCTGTTTTTCTCCAGACTATTACCACGGCCAACATGTCTGACTCAGAGGTTTCGTCATTATTCTGGGGTTCAAATGGAGGCTTGTGTTAGATCATGTTACCAAAAGAGTCGTGTGGTTTCCAGATATTCCTCAAGATGGATTGAGCTTCCATCTTCAGTTTCAAAGCAATCAGCTGAAAAGAATTCTTTGTCATTGAAGGCATTAATGACTTCTAAAACTCAAGATTTATCTAATACATTTGTTATTGGTGAAGAAAAGGTTGGAGTTCTGTTGTTGAACCTTGGAGGTCCAGAGACTCTTGAAGATGTGCAACCTTTCTTATTCAACCTTTTTGCTGACCCGGTACATAGAATCTTTTCCTTTTCTATTTCTATTTGAATTTCTTTACAAGTCACACACACTATATGGCCCAGTATTTGAACTCCTCCTCTTCCCTTCCTTTTTTTTTCCTATTTTTATATAGTAAATAAAATAAAAATTGAAAATTAAAAGGTACAGAAATAGTGAAACAATTGATAATTAACTCAACAATCAAACAATTCATAATTCAGAAAACAAGACACTCAAAACTACTTCATCCTAAATAAGATCTAACATAGTCCATAGTGAGTGATCCAACAAGAAAAGTCTTCAAATTCTAGGTGAGCTAACAACCACTCCATAATGAGTGACCAAATGTCAGAAAAACAAGGAACTGAAGGCATGCCCATAGAAAAGTATAAACTATTAAAATAATTCATCTTTTTTTTTGAATTTTAAATTTATCAACCTATAAACAAGGTCTAAAACTTCTCTTTGTTACTTAATAATTGTTTCCATTAAAAAATGGCATTCATTGTATATATTAGCTGCTCATTTATGTCAAATAAGCAGATAAAGGAAAATGTTATGTTGAGGTGTCCATTTTGGAAATCAACAAGAAGTTGATTTCTAAAAATTTTTCAAAGTTATTGATAAAAAAAGAGGTGTCCATTTTGGAAATCAACATGTGTTAAACATGGACACTTCATCCACTTAGGGGAGTCCATGCAACACTGGCTTGGTAAAATTGAACTCTTCTCTCCTTTCTTCAAAATATCTTGCCCCCTTTTCTTCTCTTCTCTCTTATATTCTCACTAACTGTATGACAAAATACAGAACCATTTTTTTTGGGCCAGTATTTACTAAGTTTTATTTCTTGAAAACTAAAGAAATATGTGCATGCTGATATGTGTGTATTTTATTCTAATAAAAGTGATGGGGAATTGGGGAGAACATGTCACCACTTGCAAATGAAAATCCAAGGTATGTCTTATCTTAAAAAAAAAATCTAAGTTATGGATTTCTCCCTCACCCTTCTAAGGCAACAAGTAAACCAGTCTCAGGGTTCCTTATTCTCTGTTTGCCTTTTAGTATTTTATCTGTATCCTTTGTCTTTGATGAGCAATAGTAAAATTTTATTAATTAATAACTTGATTTAGAAGTGTAATTTCGTACAACAACCCATGGAGAGGCGTGAGCTGCAGCCCCTCCTAAAAGCTTACAAGTTCACTAAAATAAATTACAGAAATCACAGTTGAGACCAAAACATTTCTTCCCTATTTACCCTTTGTTTGGCTAACACATCAGCCATAGCATTTTCTGATCTCCCCAACCATTATATAGAAACCAACATATTCCTTGTCAGCCACATGACTTTCTTAATTTTATTCTTGTAGCACCAGATGCTTAGGGTTTTTCAGCCAGCTCATCACCACTTTGGAATCCCCTTCAATTATTAACTGCTCTACCCCCAATTGGTTTGCAAATTGTACCCCTTGTACAGCAGCTAATAGCTCTGCCCTAATAGTCTCTGAATCCTGAAGGACCCGAGTAAAGCAGAACAATCTCTCCACTTTCATTCCTTAGAACACCCCCATTCCAGAGGGCCTTGGGTTACCCAAGCTACTTCCATCAAAGTTCAACTTCAGCAAACCTTGAAACGGAGGAGACCACCTTGTAACTATCTTGTTCTTGAAGGAAGATCACCTTGCTACTGCTAACCAATTTCTCCAAAAATCATTATATGAAAAATGTTGAAAATTTTCCAAGGTCTTCAGCCAATGTATTGCCTTATTCAACACACAGTCTTTCAATTCTTGGCTGCTCCTTTCCTTCTCTTGAAAAGTTATAGCATTCCTTTTTTTTTTTTTTGATAAGTGAGTGATATTTTATTCAAAAAAGAACAATATGATAATACAATACAGACTGCCCAAGGAGAGGCACGAGCTGGTACCTCTCCTAACCAACAACAATGTATTACAACAGACTAGGAAATGAAAGTTTACAAAGCTGCCCAGAATAAATGTTCCCTTGATACCCCTTGCTTAGCTAACCCATCCGCTATGGTATTAGCTGTTCTACCCACCCACTGAGAATTAACAGTCATGTTCCTTGAAAGCCAATTAACTTTCCTCAGAATGTCCCTGTAGCACCAAATAACTGAATCTGGATTTTTTAACCAACCCACAACAACTTTGGAGTCTCCTTCAATAAGTACGTTCTGAACTCTTAACTGGTCTGCAATCTGAATACCTTGTACCGCCGCTAGAAGCTCAGCTCTAATAGAGTCTCCTATACCCACGGAGCCTGAGAATAAAGCTAAGATATTGCTGTCTTTATCTCTCAGCACCCTTCCTATCCCTAAGGGACCTGGATTGCTTGGCTGCTACCATCAAAATTCAGCTTTGTCCAGCCTTCAGAAGGAGGCACCCACACGGCTGGTACCCTGTTCTTTCTGGTACCGCTACTAGCCACAACTATCCAGTTCCTCCAAATGTCATCAAAAGAGAAAATTTTAAAGGAGTCCAATGATCTCAGCCAATGGATTGCCCTGGCCAAAATACAATCCTTTACAGTCTGAATATTTCTTTCCTTCTCTTGGAAAAGCCTCACATTTCTTTCTTCCCAAATTGTCCACAAAGCAGCAACTCTAATGCACCTCCACATTGTTTCTTCCCATAGTGTCCAAATTAGGGCCGCTTGGACACATCTATACATAATTCCCCCTCTTTTTGTAGGCCAAGAGAAAGTAGAATGGTCAAAGATCATGTGAACTTCTACTGGTAAGCTCCAACTACTCCCAAAAAGTGAGAGTAACCAAGCCCATAAGTCTGCAGAAAAAGGACACGCTATTAGTAGATGATAACAATCCTCCCCATGAGCTCTACAGAGGGTACACCAGTTAGGAGAAATACAGAGGAAAGGTCTTCTCTTTTGTAAGTTATCTAGAGTGTTTATTTTTCTGTGGTACACTTCCCAACAAAAAGCCATAATCTATGGGGGAACTGGCCTGCACCAAATTTCCTTTGATGGAAAAAGTTGTTGGACAAAAGACTGAGAGTTGGACTTAAAAGTAAGAGGCACAAGTAAAGGTCCCTTTGGGCCTAGGAGCCCACACCCTTTTGTTTGGCTTAGAGGGGTCCAAGCAAACTTGATTAAGGCAGCCAAGCAAGCCAGAGAGAGATTCAGTTTCATTATCCCTTAAGCCCCTACGAAACTCGAATTCACAATTAGGAGCTATAGCTGTTCCTAAAGATGAGACAAATTTTGAGACCACCTCCTTTTTATACAATAAAATAGAAAATAATAAAGGGAATAGGTCCTTTAGAGGGGTGTTTCCTACCTAGATGTCCTCCCAAAATCGGACAGCATTTCCAGAACAAACTTCATACCTAACAAACCTCAGAAATTGAGGAAGAGTGTTGTGGATGGCCTTCTAAGGTGCTGCCAAGTTAGCCTGCCTTGATGCACCGGCATCCCACCCATTCTCTGGACTCCCATGAATGCTTCCCACCACTTCATGCCAAAGCCTCTCACTTTCCAGTGGCCATCGCCAGAGCCATTTCCCCAACAAAGCTTGATTTTTGACCCTCCCTATTCCCAAACCTCTCTCTTCTTTCTTTCTACAAATAATTTCCCATTTAATCAAATGATCATTTTTTCCTTCTCTCGATTTCCACAGAAAATCTCTCATCAATTTCTCCAACTTCCTTGCTTCCTTAGGTGGTATCCTAAAAATAGATAGGAAATAAGTGGGTAAGTTAGCCAATGTAGCTTTTATTAGAGTGATTCTCCCTCCCAATGAAATGTAATTCTTCTTTCACGAAGCTAATCTCTTCTCAAAATTTTCTAGCACTGAGGTCCAAAATCTGCTCTCCCTAGGATTTGCTCCTAATGGAAGCCCTAAGTAGGACATAGGTCAAGAAGAAATGGAACACTCAAGACACTCCATATGGTCTCAATCTCCCAATCCTCCAGGTTAATACCTACTATGCAACTATTTTCCAGATTTATTTTCAAATTAGATACTCTTTCAAAACCTTTGATTAGCTCCTTTAGGTTTTCTACCTTCTTGCTAAGACCTCCTTCACAAAAATCATTATGTCATCTGCAAACTGAAGGTGGGTGACTGGAATCTGATTTCTCCTGACTCTCCAACCCCTAATGGTATCTTCTCTATCGGCCTTAGTAATGATTCTGCTAATCACATCAGCTACTAAAGTAAATAGGAAAGGAGAGAGTGGGTCCCCTTGCCTAACTCCCCTACAAGTTGGAAAGAAATCCTTCACCACACCATTAACCAATATAGAGTAGTGACAAGTACTGAGACACCCAAATATTTAGCTACACCACTTGTTCCTGAAACCACAGTTCCTAATCACCTTTAACAAAAAACTCCCAATCTACCAAATCATAAACCTTTTCAAGATCCAATTTACACATGAAACCTCTTTTCCTAGATCTTTTCATTTCCTCCACACGTTCATTCGCAATTAGGATCTGATATGTTATTTGTCACCCTTGAATGAAAACCCCTTGAGTTTGGCTAATAATAAATGGGAGAACTTCTTTGATCCTCAAAGAGAGCACTTTAGCCAGAATTTTATACACTTCAGACTAATATGCCTGAAGTCTTTTGGGTGGTTAGCATTTCACCACACCATTGACTCCAGGGCTTATTGTGTGGTTATCTGCAAATTCCTTAAATACTTCAACTAGATCCTTTTTTAGTACCTCCCAACAATCTTGATAAAAAAGCCATTGTAAAGCCATCTGGGCCTGGTGCCTTGGATCTATCTATTAGAATGACAGCCTGCTTTATCTCTTCTTCCTCGAAAGTCCTTTCCAGCCACCTTGCCTTTTCATCAACCAATCTTGCCCATTCCACCCCCTCTACATCTGCTCTCTCACTCAAAAGCCTTCTAAAGGTCGATTTAAAATGGTCCACAAACTTCTTGGCTATATCATCTTGGTTAGCAATCACTTCTTCATCTATCTCCAATTTGGTTACAAAATTTTTTCTTCGTCTCCCATTTGCCAGG